AAAAGATCTTATTTCTTATTCACAATAATTAAGAATGTTTGTGTTGGTTACATGAAATTAAATAAGAAAAATACACTTAAAGTAGTTGTATTTTTTTTTTCAAATCAACAGATGAATTTTATGTCAAATTAGACACATAAGCTAACCACACGAAAGGTTTCTCCTCACCAAACAAAATAAGAAAATTTCATGGAGAAAATACTTTAGACTCCTATTATTTCTATTTTCGTAGAATTACTGGTCACCTAGCACTATTTATATGATGTTCATAAAATTCTACTTGAAATCCTTGAATAATTGTATAATCACTTAATTTTCTATTTATTTATGACAAATCACCAAATAATCAATCCAATTTCTAGCACTAAGAAACCAAAGGAGTTTGTTTATTTAGTTCAAGTAATTTGTAAATCATATTAAAAAGAAAAAAGTAGGAAAATAAATAAAAAGTGCTATTCGATATATTTGAGCAATGCTCACAGTAAAACTAGTAAACCTTCTTCAGTATTTAAAAATAAAAGTTTTAAAGAAGATCAATAGCACCTTAATGTTCATCAAATAAAACAAAGTTATAATTAGTCCATATTTTGATTTTGTTCTTGATTGTTGATTGACTGTTGCTTTAGAGCTTTTGCTTGTCGTTTTCGTTCATCTATTAAAAAGTCACACATCCTTGGTCGAATCAACTTTGCATAGCAATTGTCGTAGGATAATATAGAAATTCTATATTTAACTCGAACAGCTTCCAAAGAAAACAAAAGATTTTCCACAATTAGGAATTTATTCTAATACTTTTGTAGTTTGTAAAAGCTGTGCAAAAATCATAGTACAGTGAAAAACACAATAAAATGCTATTTCAACTCTAGTTAGATATTTCGACAAATGAAACTAGCTTGAAATAAACTTTTGTATGTATTTATTGATTCAATTCAAAAACTGATCTTATATCCAGCGAAAGCTACGTACCATGAAATAAATTGAAACGTTCCGGATCTAAAGCCGGTCGTGCTAAATGACGCCTAGCCGGTGGCAAAATACAAGTACTTAATTCTTTTGGTGTATATAAAATGTTCAATGTTTTTCTTGCAAAATCATAAATATCTCGACCACGAGTTATTAAAAGATCTTTACCTTCATATATCTGAAAAAAAAGACAACTTCAGTAATCAATGGAT